TTGTTTTCATTTTGTAAGTGTATTCTTACCAAAGTAATGAGAGTATATAACATTGATCTGAAATTTCAAAACTTTTTATTTTTCAAAACAAAGTTGTATAATTACCAGCTGGCGACCTGTCTGGTCAAGAATTCCGGATGCTGCTGATGCATAGTTAACACCTTTAGTGATGTCCTGGCCTTTTATATTTGCAAATGGAGGCATGTAGCCCTCAAATCCAAGGAGCTCAGCTGCCAGAAACAGACGTATACTTTCTATCAATAAGTAGCATATAAGTTGGCAAGCCCTAGCTTGTACATGAAGGGCCAAATGTTATTCTGAACCCTTAAACTATTGCTGCACTTCTACTTTAGTTTTTAAACTTCAAATATGTGTCACTTTTATCCCCTAAAAGATGAAATTCATCTCTTTTTTTTTTCAGTCCTTAAACTTCAAGCATCACTTACGTACTATTCCATCAATTTTGACAATCCTGCGAGATAGATTTCATATTTTAAGAGTAATGTTCGAAGCTGAAGTTTAAGAACTAAAGTTGATGTTTTCATATTTTAAGAGTTAAAGTGTCCAAGAATAAAATTTAAAAACTCAGCTTGAAATGCGTTTAAGAGTCCAAAGTGGAATATAGTCTTCATAAAAGAGTCCATACGAATCAAAAAACTTTTTGAAAGAAATAATACAATAAAAAAAAAGTTTTGTGCTGGATATAGAAAAGAAAGAGATGGTTACCTATGAAGTCCGCTTGGTTTCGCCCATTGGTGAAGCGACCAGTTGGACCTTCCGGGAAATCAATGCCGTAAGGTGGATAATTTGCCTTGGCAGTAGTGTTCAGGTAATTGTTGTTGCCATTGTCATCTTGGGAGTCGCCGAAAATGAAGTAACAAGGGACCTGAGGATTGCCCAGAGCAAATGGTTGCAAGAAGAGGCTAAGCACTCCTACGACGGGCAAGAAAACCCATTGCTTAGCTACAAAAGTCATGATTGTCGCTGAGGAAAGAAGCAAGTGATAGGAAAAGCCAGACGTGGAGGTACCAAAATTCCAAAGTCATTGCCAAAATATAGAAGGCAGAGGACCTATTGCAGTTGGCTGTAGTTGTAGTCCACCTTGGGAGAGGGCGGAGCCACTCCATCTCCACGTGCTGTTAAACCTGACCCGCAAAGGAATCGGGTAAATAGGTCACTGATTCAACTAATGAATTGATTGTTGAATCAGTGGATCAGTAAAATAATATTTATAAGGGTAAATTATATAAACTTCCCCTCTAGTTTTTACAAAAGTTAAGGATCTCCACTCTTGATTTGGGAATAAAGAGGACCCCCCTTCTTCTTTGCCAAATAACAAGAAAAGCTTCCCTACATGTGATCAGGGGAGAAATGTTAACTACTTTTGTCATAAACTCAATTCAAAGTCCCCAAACCACCATTTCAATGACATAAGTAATTTTTTCCAAAAAAATTAAGAAAAAAAGAGTGGAGTTTTTTTTCCCTCAACTTGTAACTATAAAATACCGATCACACATAATTGTATATATAGCCATAAAAGTTGGCCTTCTATCAATCATTTTTTTATTTGTAGATTAAGTGTATGTATTTTCATAAGAAAATCCATAATACTTCTTTTCTATATTAGCTTTGCCACAAAATAAGTTGATGTCTTGAATCATTTATGTAATATTCATGTATATACAAGTTGAAATTTTAAATTGTTAATATATTTGATAAATGTATAGTTTGGACAACTCATTTATTTAGAATCCAATTTATTCTAGAAGTAGACACACATGCAAATCTGTTAAATTTGACTGGGAAGAATAAAAATAACTAACAAAATATGGGAAATCTTCAAATTTTAATGCATAAAAATAGCTTTATTCTTCTTTTTTCCCCCCATTTCTTAGAGAACTAAAGCTCTTTGTTTTGACAATTTTCTTTTGTTTAATATAAGATAAAGGGTAAAAATGTAAAATCAAAACAATTATAAATTTTGACTTGATGGAAGACATTGATAAGAGAGGCTCATGTTGTTTCAGAATCAAGAGAAGAGACCCCTGACTGTTGCAGGAAACTAGAGGGGAGGTTTGTGTAATTTACCGTCTTTACAAATACATGTGACATATTAGTTATCTTGAGATGCATAGAATTTATAAATAAAGTACTTCATAAATATTAATTAGTACATCTAAAAAGATATATTTTGAATAAATAAACATTAATAAATGAGTAAATTTCTTTATATCATACTTTAAAAATATAAATCCTGCATTCACAGATAACAAAAAATTATCTTATTTATTAAAAGAATAGGCTTTTAAGGAAATAGAATTAAGTTTTTGTCAATACTTTGCCAAAAAAATTCCATTAATTTTCAACCATTGTTACGTAATAATAACACTTTCATATTGAATGTTGAATTGATTATGCAACAATAAAGCAAACAAATACATCTGAAGGGACATTTGATCAACAAGTGAAAGTTTATTTCTAATGGCAAAGTCTTTTGTACATAAATAAAGACGTTCATATTTCTCTTTGGGGAAAAAATTGAACTTTAAACAAAATTATTTTGAGATTTAGGGTCCAAACATCGGTAAACATACATTTTGACCCAAAAGCAAAGGCCTATCGGGTCATTGAGCACCATCTACATTCCCAATTAAACCACTGGACCAAACGGTTGCATCTTATTGCCTTCTCTTTATCCGATCAAATTAGAAATATGGCTCAGCTAGTGGCCGTTCATTGGGTCAAATGATTCAACTTCTGAGTTAGGACGAATTTAATAACCATCCAGGTGTCCCCATATCGGCCCAAAGAAATGGTTTGATATTGAACTTTAGAAAAGTTTTGCTTTTATCCTAATAATTAGTTGAAATTCAATATATACATATATACATGCATATATGCGTGAAGAAAAGAACCACTAGGCCCACATGGTTGCATATATGCATATATCCGAAAGGCGCGGGAGGCGCGACCCACTAAGCCTACATGGTTGAATGGCGGTGGAAACGGCTGAACTGGTGCCCACTATGTCCGAACTGATCCGCCCAATCTGCCGCATACGAGCTGATACGTGGCGTACGTAGATTGGCCCCGCTACACTAGCCTCCATTTGAGTCTATGGTCATTGAAAAGTCGCATGAACCTGGACCAAATTTCGAGGCAGGTCGGTTCCTTGTGGGGCCCACAATCCCATGATAGCTGCTTGTTCTCGGGTAGCTGCCACGTCTGCTGACGCAACCATCACTTCAAGCATCACGTCTCTCATAATGGCGGTTGCCAGCTCAACCGTCACGCAATACAGCGGTTTTTCAGTAATAAATTCAAATTTCAAGTCGGGACGCTTCGTTTTCCCGCCCTGGTGGCCTAAAAATAGGCCCCACCAAACGTCACTTTCACACTTCCTTTCTCATTTCCTCCTCTCTCCAATTTCTAGCAGCTCACACATCTCTGCCCTTCCAAGTTTGTCCGATCGCTTAGTGAGTTCGGCCAAGAGTCAGTTCGTGCTACCTTCTAAGCACCTTTCAGCTTTCCTTTCCTATTCGCCAGTAAGTCCTCTCTCACTTTTATGTCTTCTTCTTCTACACATTCCGATATAACTAGTTCGGCCCCTAGGCGTAGAGTAACCCGGCCTATTCCCATAGAAATTATTTCTTCCTCTCCCTCTTCTTCTAGTTCTTCGTCTCCAAGTTCATCCGAGTCGGAGTATATTCCTTCCTCCATTCCTTCTCCTGTCCGAGCAATGGCTCAACCCGACCAGCCTGCTCAGCCCGCAGCTGGAACTGCTGATGAAGCAATTCCGCTCAAGGCAGCTCTACTCCGAGCCAGGGAAAGACCCCCCAGGGGTCCAAATTTCGGAGAGGTAGACCTCATCCCTCCTATCCTAGATCAGGGGGATGTGGACAAGCTGGTGGAGAAATATGGCATTCCCCATTAGTTTGAAGCCCGAGCTGCCCAACCTGGGGAGGTTGCCTACCGACCTCCTCCTGAGTTTGTGGCAATCTACAAGGACCAACTCATAACAGGTCTCCGTTTTCCTATTCCCCAGTTTCTCTTTCAAATTCTGATCTTCTGGGGGATCCGGGTGACCCAACTTGCTCCTAATGCAGTTCAGTCAATCCTAGGTTTCTTCATACTCTGTAGGATCCAGGAGATTCCCTACTCCTTGGAGCTATTTAGATCCTTCTTCCAAATGAAAGTCATCGGTCAAGTTTACGGTTGGTTCTACTTCGCTCGTAGGAGTAGGGCAAAGCTCCCAACTCGCGAGCTGTTCTCCGGCGTCCCCTCCTCTATCAAGGGCTAGAAAGCCCAGTTTTTCTTCGTGAAGAACATTGGTTTTCCTTCCCCGACCTGGAGGGAGGACGTCCAAGTGTTAGACCCTCTTCCTTCACCTCTTCCCGCTGCCGAGCTAGACCGCCTGGTCAGTTCGAGCACGCGGCTGAATGTGTAGAAATTCAACAATGCTCAATTCTGGTCTGCGGGACTGGTTCGGGCAGAGGTAACCGACCCTGCTCCTGACCTCAGGTCACTCACCCCAGAAGAGCTGGTTGCTCCTGACCTCAGGTCACTCACCCCAGAAGAGCTGGTTGCCCATAAATTCTTCTTCCCCTTCTCATTCTCTTCTCTCTCTTTTTTTTTTTTTTTTTTACTATCTGAGCTGACCACCTCTCATCCTCTTTTGTAGTGAAGAGATTTTCCCAACTGTTGAACATTGGAGGAGCGGGCAGCTCGAGCACGCCTGCCACCGTGCCGCCCACTGCACCAAGTAGTTCGGTTTCTGTCGCTCCTTCTCCTCCAGTACCAGCTCCACAGGCCCCTGCTCAGTCATCCCATACTGAGGGGGCCAGCAAGAAGAAAAGGAAGAAAACAACGGCCAAGAGGGCCCGAACTGAGGTCGCCTCTCCCACTGCCCAGGCAGCGTATCCAGCTCCAACCGCCACCCCTTTCGAGCATTATGGGGTGAATTCGGCCGAGCAGCAGGCCTCTTCTGAATCTCCACCTACCATGTGGCGCCGTAGGAACATAATCCCCGTAAATCCACTGTCCGAGCTGAGCTTGCACCCTCACCCGATGCACTTCTGCCCGAAGTGGGGGTTGTCGATGAACGACAGAGCCCAGTTCCCCGAGATAGCTCGGGATCTCCTTCGAGGAGCAGTCCTTCCCCGCGACCATACCTTCATTCAGATGGCATCCGACTCCGAGCTGCTCGAGCACTACTACCTCAACGCAGTTCAGGTGAATCCCAAACTGGTTTCATGGTTATTCGTATCCTTTTTTAAGTCGCTCAAGTACTGATCTCATGTCTTACTGCAGCTCAATGTTGCTGGCACCGAGCTGTTGCAGAGATACAAGAACATGGGAGTAAACCTCTCCTAGGTCGATGCAGCCAAGAACAGGCTGTCCAATCAGCTTGAAACAACCGAAGCAGAGCTGGAGTCCTTGAAGAAACAACTTGCCGAGGCCCAGTCCGCCTGTTAGCTGGAGAAGAAAAGGGTGGCCGAGCTGATCTCGCAGCTAGAGGCCGAGCAGAGGAAGTCTACCGAGCTTCCGGGCCAGATCGAGGTTGTGAGAGAGGAGAGGCGTCAACTAGGCGTCCAAGAGTTCAAGAAGTCAGAAGGCTTCATGATGTGCAGGCTCTGAATTTGCCTGGTTTCGAGTTGGGATTATGGTCGGACTACAATCCCGACGCGATCGACCAGATTGACAGGCTCGTGGCGGGCTATGCGCATGGACGTAAGCTGACAGACCTCGTAACTAACCCCACTCTGCCTGTGACCTCTCCTGAACCTGAGCAGGAGCACCAGGGGGAAAAATAGATAGTATTTAGTGTAGGCGTAGTCGGAGTAGGTAGGACTCCGGACCGGCCAGTTCGATTTTGTATGACCCCCATTTTGCACCCTTATTTGAAATGAATGAATCTTCCCTTTATTCAACACTTAGCTAAAATTTCATTTCATTTCATGTCATAATATCTGGATACATATACAGATTGTCCTGCTAGAAATTGCTTTTAACATGTGTAAAAGTCAGCTCATCCAATTCCCCGAGCTGACCTCTAACTTTTCTAGCCCCACGCAAATCACCCCCAGGTCATGCACTCGGATACTAGCGAAAAAGCCTTAAATTGGAGTTGTACCATGTGCGTGGAACTTCTTCCCCGTTGACTTGAGCTAGCTTGCAGTATCCAGCTCGGTCTGTCTCCTTTACAACATAGGGGCCTTCCCAGTTCGGATCTAGTGTACTTGTGCCCACAGCTCGATTTACCGAATTTTTTCGTAGCACCAGGTCTCCTGGTTTGAAGGAGAGATGTCTTACCCTAGCGTTGTAGTACCGCGCAACCTGCCTTTTGTACTTTGCCATTCTTATGGCTGCTTCCTCCCTCTACTGTTCTAGCAGGTCTAGGTTGAATCGCATCTCCTCCTCATTATCCCGAGCCACAAAATGCTGCATCCTGCCCGAGGGTATTCCAATTTCTGTTGGGATTACAGCCTCCGCCCCATAAATTAAGACAAATGGAGTTTCCTGTGTAGCAGTTCGGGGCGTGGTTCAGTAACCCACAGTATGGTTGGCAGCTCGTCTATCCACCCAGTTCAGACAGATTCGATCCGCGCCTTCAAACCATGCAGGATGGTCCTATTGACATTCTTGACCTGGTCGTTAACTTGTGGGTGCCCTACGGAAGTGAAGTGTTGCTGTATTCCAAGCTCGGAACACCAGTCCTGGAGGGAACTATCGACGAACTGTCTGCCATTGTCTGAGATCAGGGCCCGTGGTATGCCGAACCGACAAACTATATTTTTCCAGAGGAACTTTAGAACCGACGTGCTGCTGATGGTGTTAAGGGGCTTAACTTCTACCCACTTAGTGAAAGAATAGTCAATTCCCAAGCAGGTCAATTCTCCATTGAAAGAATGGCCATGGGCTTTGAAGAGGGACCATCTCTTGAGTCGGGGCATGATGAACCGGTGCGTCCAGTTGGCATGACCTGCACTTTGCCATCAGCTCGGCCGAGTCTCGGAAGATGGTCAGCCAGTAGTATCCGGATAACATGCCCTTCTTGGCCAGAACTCGCGAACTGACATGATTTTCATATATGCCCTCACGTAGTTCGCTCAGAATGTAGCTCCCCTCCTCAAGCGTCACGCATCTCAGCCGTGGACGTAGATACGACTTCCTATAAAGCACTCTGTCCGCGAGAGCATACCTCTGTGACTTGAGAAGGACCTTGCGAGCATCTGTCTTGCTCAAGAAAAGTTCTTCCCTGGCTAGGTACTGTACAATTGGATCTATCCAGGAGCTCATCACTCGTACTACTGTCGTGTCTAGCTGCTCATATGCACAATTTTTGACGACCTCTACCAATACTTCCCTATTCAGCGTGTCAAAAGAAGTGGAAACTAGTTTAGACAAAGCATCCGCTCTCTTATTGCAGCTTCTCGGGACTCGTTCGAGGGTGAACTACTTAAACCGACTCCTTAGATCAAGTACTTTAGCAACATACTTCTTCAATGGCTCTTCCCTGACCTCGTAGTTCCCCAAAACTTGGTTTACTATCAACTAAGAGTCGCTATGGATCCTTACTGATTCAGCTCCCAATTTCCAAGCCATCTCCATCCCTGCAATCAGGGCCTCATATTCAGACTCGTTGTTAGAGGCTATGAAGTCGAATCTCAAGACGTAGGTCAACTTTTCCCTAGTAGGGCTGATTAGGAGGAGTCCGGCCCCGCACCCTTCTTTGCTGGAGGAGCCATCAACGTATAGTGCTCAGGCTGGAACGGCCTGTCCGGCAATCTCCCCAGTTTCATCGATGTCAGGCTATACAGGGGCTTGTTCTGCCTCAGCTGACCAGATGCCAGCTTCTCCGGTCGGCTTGGCCTCGGCTTGCATGGGAGCTTCTCTGGCCCGTATAGTTTCAGCTCGCATAAGAGCCTCTCCGGCATGCATGGCCTCATCTCCGGCCTGTATGGCCTCAGCTCGCATAGGAACCTCCCCGGCCTGTATGGGCCTCAACTCGCGAGAGAGCTTCTCCGGCCTGTTTGGCCTCAACTCGCAAAGGAGCCTCTCCGGCCTATTTGGCCTTAGCTCGCGAGGGAGCCTCCGGCTTGGTGTCAGCCTCTCCGACCCGTTCGAACTTTGGCTGCCCAAAGGAAAGGCCATCCGCTATGAAGTCCGCCAATACTTGGCCTTTGATGGTCATCCAGGGTTGGTACCCTAGGTCGTACTCGGACAACTCGACAGCCCACTTGACCATCCTCCCTGACACGTCCGGTCTGGATAGGATCGGTTTCATGGGTTGGTCAGTCACTACCATAATGGGATGAGCCTGGAAGTATGACCTGAACTTTTGCGCCGCATGAACTAATGTCAGGACATAGCGCTCAACCGGCGAATACCTGGCCTCCGCCCCCTGTAGAGCACGACTGACATAGTACACCGGTCTCTGGACCTTGTTATCTTCTCTAGCTAGCACAACGCTAACAGCCTCCTTCCCCGCCACTAGGTATATGAATAGAATTTCACCTCGTTCGTGGGAAGTCAGGGCAGGCAACGTGGCAATGTGACTCTTCAGTTCGCCGAATACTTTCTGGTATTTTGAGGTCCATTCAAACTGGGGACCTTTGTTTAGAGCCTTGAAGAAAGGTAAGCCTCAGGCTGCCGATTTGGACAGGAACCTATTCAAGGCTGTCATCCTACCAGCTAGGCGCTGCACCTCCTTAATATTTTTGGGAGGAGCCATATCCATGATAGATTTTACCTTATCCGGGTTAGTCCGTACCCCGTTTTTGGATATCATATACTCTAAGAATTTGCCCGACCTGACTCCGAAAGTACATTTCTTGGGGTTCAGTCGCATGCATGAGCTCCGAAGAACGTTGAAGACCTCTCTGAGGTCTGTAATGAACTGTTCCTCAGTTCGACTTTTCACCAACATGTCGTCCACGTAGACCTCCATATTCTGCCCTATCTGATTTTTGAACAGTTTGTTCACCAATCTTTGGTACGTCGCGCCCACATTTTTTAGTCCAAACGGCATGGTGACATAACAGTAGGTGCCATACTCCGTGATGAACGAGATCTTCTCCTGATCTTCCTCGTCCATAGCTATTTGGTAGTATCCCTTGAAAGCATCCAAGAAACTGAAGATTTCATACCCAGTGGTCGAGTCCACAGGCAGGTCGATTCGGGGAAGAGGATAGCAATCCTTCGGGCAAGCTTTGTTCAAATCAGTGAAGTCCACACACATTCTCCAAACTCTGTCGTCCTTCTTGACCAACACAGGGTTGGCCAGCCAGGTCGGATACAAGACCTCCTTCACAATTTTGGCCTCTAGCAGTTTGCCTACCTCGTCTTTGAAGACCTCATTCCGCTCAGGCGTAAAATTCCGCTTCTTCTGCTTCACAGGTCGGATATTGGGGTCTACTTGTAATTTGTGAACTGCCAGCTCGGACGGAATTCCAGGCATGTCATCTGTACTGCAGGCGAAAATCTCCGCATATTCCTCAAGAAGAGTTTCGAGTGCCCTCCGTGTCTGCTCGCCCAGGCCTGAGCCGGTCTTGACCACACGATCGGGTCTCTCCCTGCTGACTGGCAGTTCGAGTAGCCCCTCGTTCGTCTCCAACCGTTCTTTTTTCTTCATTGGCTCCCAGGGCTCTAAGCGAGTTGTCTGAGCCACCAGTTTCTTCTTACCCTTGAGAGTTGCAATGTAGCATACCCGAGCTATCTTTGGACCCCTTAGTACTTCAGCTATCCTTGCAGGGGTGGGGAACTTCGTGCTAAGGTGCAGCGTTGAGCAGACAGCTTGGAGCGCGTTCAAGGTCGACCGCCCCAAGATCATGTTGTATGAAAACGGCTCCTTCACCACCGCGAAGTTTACGGGGACAGTTCGGCATTTTGGCGGTGCCCCCACTGTGACCATAAAGGTTATCATCCTCTCAGGTCTTATCGGTGGCCCTGCGAAACCGATCAGGGGAGTTCGGACTGGGATGAGCTTCTTGTCTTCCAATTGCAGTTCCT